GCTGCCGGCCGAGCCCGGCGCGGGGCGCGATCGCTCGTAGCGCGTGCGCTCGCCTTGGGGCGTCTGTGTGGGCGCGACCGGCCCCCGAGTCGGCGAGGAGGAAGTCGCGGCGCCGTGGAGCTGGAAGTGTCGCTGTGGAGTCGCCGGCGGTGTCCTAGCCGCGGCCTTCCCGAGCTGAGTCTCAGCGCGCAGTGGGGCCGGCCGCAGGCCGTGTCGGACGGCGGGGCGCGGGGCGGGCCTGGAGACCGGCCGCAGCCTTTCTTCGAAGTCTCCTAGCTGCTTAGTTGCATGTTTGAAAATAGCTCTGATTGATCAGGTATTTCTTTCACAGGATGAAGATGAGTGGAAAGAATTTGAGCAAAAAGAGGTTGATTACAGCGGACTCAGAGTGCAGGCCATGCAGATCAGGTACGGTGCGAGTGCGGATGGGTTTAGGTAATCTTACCTACGTGTTGGACGCGAGTTTGATTTTTCTAAGTCTCAAAGCAGCTTCGAAGTAACCTTGCCCTGAAGGAGTTTAAGACCCCAGTGGATTATGTCTCTATGAAGGTAGTTCCCTATGCTCATTGTGATAGCTTGCCTACTTCTAGTTCTGGTTAGGGCTTTTTATTCAAGGCACCTAAAATAGATCATGTTTTAAAAAAAAAAAAAAAAGGAATTTTTTTTAAGACATGGTTTCACTGCATAGTCCTGGTTGGCCTGGAATTTGAAATCCTCTTGCCTCAGCTTCCCAAGTGCAGGGATTACAGGCGTGTGCCACCACGCCTAGACAGATGTTTTACTGTTAACATTGATGGTTGAATTCACTTTTCCCTTTTTGTTTCAGAGACAATATAGGTGTTTTTCAGATCCTTTCCAGCTTTTTGTTTTGCCTTTATCCAGTAGGCAAGTTAATGTGTATCTTTATAATTGAAGTATAGGATACTTGCATTGAAGTATAGATTTTGCATTCACACAGCAAAACCAACCTAACCCTTCCAGTAATTTCCATCACAGGTAAACACTATTAGCTGGGTGTGGTGGCGTACACCTGTAATCCTAGCACTCAGGAGGCTGCGAGTTCAAATCCAGCCTGAACTACATAGAGAGACCCTGTCTCAGAAAGACCAAAAAGAAAAAAAGATAAACACTATCTTAACACCAAAGGGTAATTTTCTGTGGAACTTTGTAGAGTGGAGTTATGTAGTTTAAGCTTACTTTCCCTCTCCCCCAGGTACTAGTGACTGAGCCTGTGGCCTTGGTCCTAGTCAGAGGCTCTGTGACAGCTACACCCAGGGATAGAAGTGTGTTATTTTTAAAGATTTGTTCGTTGAATTTAAAAGTAAGCAGATTATCAAATCCATATTGGTCAGATTTATGTTAAATAAATGTCATATTTTCAGTAGTTTGGAAAGTAGAAAAAATGGTAGTTATGTTTCTGTTGCTGTAAGATTAATATTTATGGTTTTTTTTTTTTTTTAACGACAAAAACAGTGATCTCAATTAACTGCTTCAGTTTGTATGCAGTGCCAGTTACTACCTGGTGTATATTCCCTTAACTGTAGACTCCTGATCTCTTTAGGTGTGGTAGTATTTATGGCCTTAAATAACTTTTGTGGAAAAACCAGGACTAATATTTTTGATACTTGCTTGCTAGTTACCACGGCTGAACATTAATGTCTTTAGGTGTTTTAGCATGAAACACCTTTTGTGAGTTTTTGACTAAAGGAAAAACCACCTGATTGGTAGTGGGAAACTTTGAGGAAGTGCATCTTCTCCACTAGTTTTTTAAATTAGGTTTGCTTTGCTGGGGATTGAACCCAGGGCCTCCTACTGAGCTATATTTTATTTTTTGTGACAGCAGCTCCCAAGGTCGCTCAGTCTAGCCTTGAACTTAGTGGTGGTTCTGCCTCAACTTCTAGAGTGGGTAGGATAACAGGTGTGCCTCGCTGTGCTTGGTTTCCTCTACTCCTAAGGTTCCTTTGTAGTATTTGAGTAGAAGTGATTACACTGGAGTTTGATTTGCGGCCATGAGTTGACTTACTTCATGTCTGGATGTTTTTGAAGAGGCAGAGTTTGGAAAATACCTGTTTCTGTTTCCTTTCCCCTGGGAATTTGACTTACAAAAATGGAAGAGTGGGTTGTGAGGTTCCTGTCCTTTAGCATTGTGGAACCACTTGTGTGTGTGGCTCCTATTTTGTGGTAGACTCTTGGTCTGCTTTTCTTTTTCTGACTTGAACAACACTAATAGTTTTTTTTGACCCTGTTCTACTTACTGAACAGAGTAGTGCTTACTGAAGGAAAAAGGTTGTAGAGAATATTTGTACTGAACTTCAGCTTTTCTGTCAGTGGATACAAATCTCAGATCCCTATTCAGAGTTATTTTGGTCTTTTAACTATTGACTCCTTTTTTTTCCCTTTCACTAGTGCTAGGGATTGAACTCAGGGCCTCATACAGGCTAGGCAAGTGTTCTGTCACTGAGTTACATCCATAGTCCTAACTTCAGCTTTTTTTAGAGACAGCGTTGCCCAGTCTAGTCTTGAATTCTTCTGGCTACTCTTGAAGGTGGATTATTGCTTAAATAATACATTCATTAGATGAATAAGTAAATCTCAGCCAAAATGAGTGCTTTAAGTTCTGGTTGACCTAATGTAGACCAGCTTTTATTTTTTATACTGGGGCTTGAAACCAGAGCCTCCCCATTGAGCTATATCCCCAGCCTTTTTATTATTTTTGAGACAGGGTCTTGTTGTCTAGGTAGGGCTCAAACTTGATATTCTTTGCCTCAGTGTCTTGCAGTACTGGGATTACAGTTGTCCACCACCTTGCCAGGCTCTCATAGAACAGCTTTTGTGTGTGTTTTTTCATTATGAGCATTTAGTCATTGCTGCTGAATGGCCATCTGAGAGGTCTTTTGCTAATCTGCTAACATTGCAAAACACTCCTTTTTCAGAAAGCTGCTTTTGTGAGTCAGAAATTATGGAGTCTGGGGCCTGTGTTTCCATTGTCTGAAATTATTTAATAAAGGGGAATCTAGCTTCCAGGAAAGGCTTGAGGGTGGGAAAATCATATGAGGTTAGGTAATAATTACTAAAATTTTCACCTTATGTTAATATTTTTATAAACTTTTTTGGTGTTAAGGTTGGGAGTGTAGCTCAGTGGTACAGCACTTGCTTTTAGAATGCATAATTCCTGGGTTCTGTTTTTACCACCACCCCACCAGAAAAATTCCTAACGGTGAAACTCAGTAGAGTAAGAATACCAAGAAAAGAAATATTTGTTCCTAGGTAGATGGATCACATAATGAGATGGAGTTATGTGGCAAAAACAGTTCTGGGGAAAGACAAACTTGGTTTGCATTTTAACCTCTGCTGCTTAGTGCGTATGTTACCTTGAGCGAGTTATTTTACTTTTGAACATTCCTGTCTACAAAACAGACCAGTCAGAATTGTTAAGATTCTTTGAACAGGATGGTTTTTAAATGTCCAGGATATAGAAGGCACTTGGTTACTACTGATCATCTTCTCTATTGAGTAAGGATTTAGAATCACTTAACTCCTGGGAATTTCTGCTAATTAACCATGAGTTACCTGTTTTATAATGCCAAGATTTAGTGAGGAATACTAGGGGCATATATAAGGTTATCATAACTAAAGTCAGTCTTCGGAGGACACAGTAAGGGAAAAGGACATGCTCAGTGACATAACATTACAATAATCACTGGGTGTGGCTGGCGTATGTCTGTAATCCCACCTGTTTGGGAAGTTGAGGCAGGAGACTCACAAATTTGGGGCTAGCCTGAACAACTTAGACACTGTCTCAAAATAAAAAAGGGCTGGAGGTGTAACAGTGGTAGAGCACTTACGTGGTATGCCCATGGCCCTGGATTCAATCCCCATTGCCACCAAAAAACCATAGCAATAGGATAACCAAGCCAAAAATGGTCTTTCTCAGAGTGTTAAATGTTGCCTAGAGATCTTAAATGACTTGCTCTGATATTTCAGCAGAATTGCTTAGAAAGGAAGAAGTTGACTTTTTCCTGCTATGAATGGGATGCTGTGTCTTTATGCAGTACTGTTTTGTTGGTGAGAGATACTACCTTACTGTCTTAATATAGAACAAGGGGAAAAGAAACTTTGAAAGTTGACTTAAAATATCTTGAAGTTTTTAGCCTGTAGTCTTGAATTTTCTTAAAACTTTTTGTTTTGAAAAATTAGAAATCAGAAAAGTCACAAGAAAGTAAAATAAGTACCAATGTAGTTTTCAGTCAGTTCCCATCCATCTTTGGCATATTTATCTTTTTCTCTTTTACCAAATGAGAATTAGTTATAAATCCCGCATATAGTCTTAGAGTTCTTGACGTGAGTTTAGCATGCTAGGCCTTTAACCAAGGTAAGTATATATTTGAAGGGGTGCTTACTGTAGTAATGTTCTGTCTCATGTTTACCAGCCATCTCAAGATTTAAGTACCAAGAATACTTATTTATGTTTTTTGAGATAGACTTTCGTTGATGTTTTTCAGGCAGACCTTATACAAGCTATGTAGTCTAGGCTGGCTTTGAACTTGCTGTAATCCTCCTGTCTCAGCCTCTTTGAGTGCTGGGATTATAGACATGTACCACCACACCCAGCTCCCAAGAATATTTAATATGCCGAAATTAATAGATCTTATTCAAGGTCAGGTCACTGTAGACAAATTCTTGAGAGGGAAGCAGTTGATGGTAATAAAGAGCCTGATACTTGAGTTTAAATTATTGGTTAATTACAGAATCTCTAGGCCTCTTCCATCTAAATGGACTTTGTTGGGGAAATATTTCATTTAATTTTTGATAGTACATATTTACATGTAATATTTATATATTACATTGCACATGTGTCCTATTTCAACAAAGGATTGAGTTCTTAAAGCCCAGTGATTTTTTTTTTTTCAATGTTGCTAATTCTCTTTCTCCCCTGCTTCTCATTAGTATGTGTTTTGTATTACACATAGATTAGATTTACTGTGGGGAGTTGGTATGTGTACATCTTTTTTTTTGTCCATTCCCCTTCTTCCCTGCTCCCAACAAATGGGAGTCCATTCCCATTTGCAAAAGCTCCACTTTGATTTTGTTTTCCTTTTCAATTCTTTTTGTTTCCATCCCTGTATCTTCCCAAAGAGTAAGTTGTCATACTACAGGGATACATGCATACCAGTCTTACATCTGTATCTCTTAGGTGAGAAACTAGCAGCACATAAAAAGAGTAAAATAAATATGAATAGGAAATGGGTCTTTTGCAGATGGAGCCTAGTGACCTGTTGGAGCCTCCTTTAGAAGTCGAGGTCTTTAAATATGTTGAGTGGAGCTGCTCGGGAAGAAGATGCTCCATTTTGTTTCGTTTGCTGTGTTGAGGATGTCACACTGCGCTACTTCCCTATCCCTTTTTATTT